CATGGCGCGCAGAGTGGCCATCGCCGAGAGCAACCCCTCAGGAGCATCACCCTTATTCGAGAGCGCCGCTTTGCACAACGCAACGGCGCCCGACATGTCCTGCAAGTACGAGCGCGACCACTGGATCACGCTGAAGAACGGAGTGACGTCCAAGAAAGGCTTCCAAATTTTGACCGATGCCTCAGGCACCAGGGCCTCAAGAAACATCATGAACGGAGCTGTCGGCTCCAGCAGTGGCACGGACACATCCTTGAGGAGAGCTACAGAGGCGTTGCCGACGGTGCGCAGGATGGCTCCGGACACCTGCACAACCTTTGGTTTCACCTGAGAGGCGCGCCCGCTGCGCCGATCGCTCAAGTCGCAACGCCCGCCCCTATCCACCTATCCACCCCTGGCCTACCCAGCCCCGGAATCGTTGGCCAGGCAAGCCATGGGCCATGGGGCGGGAGCGGAGAAGCGACTGACGCGATCAGACGCCCGGGCCCCCTCCCACCTGCGTCACGAGGTCCGCCTGGGCGCTGAAGTCTTCGCTAGTAAACTTGTCGCAGATCTTCTGGTACTGGATGACCGCGTCCTTGTAGTCGATGCCCACCTGGTCCGTCAACACGTCCATGAGCCCGTCAAGCACCACGACGAGCTTCGCGTGCTTGGAACTGACGACCGCCATGCGCTCCTTCTTTGCTTCGGCCTTCTTGATCAGGGCCCTGCCAGCAGGGGACGACGCAACTGCCTTCGAGATAGCGTCGTCAGTGCCTGAGCCATCTACAACGATCTTGGCCTTGTCCTTGTCACTGCCAGCCTCGGAACTCGCAGCGTCGAGTGCTTCCTGCAACCTCGTCGCCGTCACGCCCCGCCCATCAAGAAGGGTCGGCGCGCCCATCAGCAAGCGAACGTTCTCGACGGACTTCCGGATGAACTCGGGCAGCTCACTCGCGTACGAGACCAACTGCGGATCGCAGAACTCCACCCCGAGAGTACCTGGGGGGGGGGCAAGGATCAAACAATCCAAGCATCGGAGCATCGGAAATCGATATGTCCGACGTCACATCGGGCATCGGGCATTGGAGGGCTGATCCCCACTCGGGCACGGGGGTTAAATGGGTTGCATGGGCACCCAAGATTCTGGTGACTTCTGCGGGCGAGACATCGACTCGACATCGACTGCCAGGTTTAATGACCGAGGCGCGCACCCTGGGAACGTGACAGCATATCGAATATCGACAACGCAACACAATGCTTGGTATCGCAAAGGTGATCGCTTTGCTGCAACCTGCGTTGGTGATGGGCACGTGAAGTGTAGCTTGAGAGAATGGCGCACCGGGCCGACCCAATAGGATTCCTGGCGATGTGGCTTTCTCAAGGTGGGAAATCATGGCCCCGCAGTTCAGGCCCTCTTGGCTTGCGAGAGGTGCCCTCGCGATGGCAAGCCGTTGGAGCGCATGGCCTATAGCCTGCAGAGCAGCCCTGATATAAACAACATTCCAGCACAATCCTCCGGCCATGGCCCTCCGCCCTTGTCCTGAACAACCCTCCTCCCTCTTAAACCCTACGTCTTCCAAGCGCGGGGGTGATTGCGTTGTTGCCCTCCTCTCCTCCCCCCTAGTTCAAAACGGGGCCCCCGGCTAAGCATGCTTATGTTACAGAATGTCCGTACCGTAAGGGCTCGTGCATCGGGCACGCGGATGGCGGGCGGTTCCAGCACCGAAAACGGGCTTTCGCTTCAGACGTCCTCACCTACCAATCGCAAAATAAATATGGCGCTTACACGGGTGGAGGGTGACTACGTTGTAAAGTGGAGCTCTCTCACGATTCATGATATTATGACTTATGAGATCCCCTGGACATGGGGCACCTACTCCGCTCATCCCCCTACTCATTCTCATCTCCTCTCGTCGACCACCAAGCCGTATTTCTTCAACAACTCCCAGAACTGGAGACTTGCGATCCAGTACATAGACATAGATGCTCCACGGCTTCTCCTTTGAGCCGCCTTATCCGAGATGCCTTTCAAAGAGAGCACCAGCCCGCTGCTACTACTACAACTTAGACTAAAAACTAAACCGATGAGTCAATGAGGCTGGTGCAGCAGTGGCTTCGCGGCTCTGGATTCACCCCTGCCTGGACGCCCACCCCGCCGCCGAGCGCGTAGGACTTCACGCCAGATGAAAGCCTCCGTCCGGCTCCGGGGGCGGCTGCTGCACGAAGCTCCTCTCGTCGACCACCATGGTGATCACGGTGTCCGGCTCCTGCTGGCTGACCGAGCTCGTCGGCATGCGGATCGCCTCGTTCGGCATGCGGATCGCCTCCGTCGTGCTGCTGGCCGAGCTCGTCGGCATGCGGATCGCCTTGATGAGGCGCGAGCGCTCCTCCTCCCTTATCTTCATCCTCTCGTTCTCGATGATCTGCTCCACCTCCGCGTCCGTTAGCTTCCTGATCACCTCAGCCGAGAGGCTCGTCGGCCGCGGAGGAATCACCATGGCCCCTGGAGCGCCCGGCGGAGGCGGCGGCGACGGCCGCGTCGTTGCCGAGACCTCGTCCTCCGTGGCGCTGGAGGGCCCCGCCGGGTGTGCCTGGCCAGGCTGAGCTGAGCCCGTGGTCTCCAGGCGGTCGAAGTACTGCCTCGAGCGCGCGCACTGCAGCAGCATCTGGTCGTTGACCTTCGCGAAGTTGTACTTGTACAGGAGTTCGCCGCAGCCCCTGCATTTGATTTGGTCGATAAAGTTGTTGGAGCCCTGGCGCGCCTGGTCCCGATGAGCACATGACCTCGCCATCCGCTGCCCCGGTCGGGCGCGCGCGCTCGCGCTGGGACCTGCTTGGTTCAACGTCCTGCGCCAACACGGGTACTGAACGCATGGGTTGTGGATAAACCGCAATGCCAACCCATCGAAATCCCACCAGCCCTCTGGGCGTAGGTGGTCCAGGGCGTTCCCTCTTCCAACCTCATTCTTCCCCTTCGGGGATGGGTTAC